TGAATGGGTCAGGAAACCAGCAATACGCACACCACTGACAACTCACTGGAAACACGTCTACACACCGAGATACCTGCGTGTGGTAAAGAGATTTCGGCATTTGAACCGGCGCAGTTTTAGAAACGGACAGGCGGCCAACCTGATCAGATAAACGATTCTGAGAAATAAACAACTGTTAGCTAAACACAAAGAGGAGGAAGGAGAACAAATATATTTACAATAATGTCATAAAGAGGGGAGCAAAAGGCGTTCAAGAAAGTTTTCGGAAATTGCGGAACACCGGGTAGACCTTAGCAAATGTTTCGTAGACCAATGCGATGGACTTGGCGTCTGGAAAATGCGGAAAACAAATGACTGAGAGCAGGCTCTGGAAAGGTGTCCATGCAGATAACCCTGCCAGGCCGAAATGGCTTTGACAAGCTCAACTGTAATCGCGATCTTGTCATTCACAAAAATAAAGAAAACAAGTTTTAAATTGACAAGTCGGGGCTCTGATTTAAAACTTAATCGCCCACGTTCCCTCCTGTTGTCTGGATAGCTTGCATTTCGAAAGACAGACGACGACAAGTCTTGTACAGATAGTCTGCCGTTACAAAAGACCAACGAAGCCAACAGTTGGCAACTTAAGTTTATGACAGACGGAATGGCGTCAAAATGAGTTTGCCATAATTTAACGCATCAATCGACGAGAAAACTAAATAGCTGACAGTTCACAACTGGAGCATCAACCACAAAGCTCAAGCAGAGCGCTGGGGCCCCACCGATCAGCCGAAATCCTCGCAGCTGCGTCATGCAGCAGTACGAAACCGGCCAAAACACATGCCTGGGTCTTAAGTTGGCGCCTGTGGTGGACTACTCAGTATTAGTCAACGGACAGTACCCACGTTTATAACTATAGTGTCGGTACAGTAACCCATCACGACTTTGTTGTTCCCTTACATAAAAATAGCCCCGTTTACCTAGAACGACTTACTGTAGTTTTAAACTCCCCAGCCTCATATGGGTGTTCCGTCAAAACTTGAAATATTATAAGCGGAAGGGGGTGTATAAAAACCGTTGAGTGAATTACATACACGAAAGAAAAACTAATCAAGTCGGCACCGGTTGACAAGTAAGCTCCAGGAGCCGCCTAATGCTGTTAATCTTACTACTGCGTGATAGACACGACAGTCGGTTACTACGTTTTCACTCAAAGTAATTTCTTGAAAGGAACCGGCTGCAGACAGTTGGCGCGATCCGTAAGCGTTTCAAAAATGCTAGGAAAAATCAACCATTGAAAGAAGCATAACGTGGGACGTTAGACTCACTAATAAAGAACAATTACAAAGTACAGCGTCAAAAATTCAAGATGGGACGATGGGAACTAGGCAGAAACGTTACAACACTTACAGTGCCACCTGTCCATTGCTAGAAGGTCGTCAACCTGAACACCGTTCTTCTTTAACTGCAGCTGGTATCTGACATTGTCCCTCTGATCGACGAGGACCCAACTGACGTCGACATCGCCGGGCTGCCAAGCCTTAGCAGCGAGCGAATGACTGCATCCGAATATACAAAAGTGTTCTCCGCATATCCAGTCTCAGTGGCCTCGACCAGAAGCTCATTTTCGCGACTCGAACAGGTCGACAGCTTGGTGGAGCGTGTGTCCTTGAGGCAATTGTCCCCTCCGAGTATGCTTGGTCACCGCACACTTACGAGACACCAGACGGCTCTCTGGATCAACACACTAGCAGGGGAATCGTAAGATGAATAATCCACGCAGTTACATGGAAAGCCGTCACAAGGTAGCCGGCGGTGCCTCCACACCCACTGCTACCTGCAGCCTAGACATGACAGGCTGCAGTATACTTCATTAACACTAACTTTTTAACTGGAGCTTGTGCCAATGCCATCGCACCTACGGTCCAAAAGCACGTTAGTATATTCCGCCATGCGCATTCCAAAAATCGCCACAACGCTTAGACGACCGCCAGCCAGTAATAGTGAAAAAAGCCGCCGAGTAGTCTCCTCTTCTACATCGGTGACAAGTTGGGCGGCCGATACCGCTATTGAGGTTGACGTCATTTCGCCTCCTAGACGTCACTACCTGGGCCCAAGGCTTCCCAATTTCCATTGCAGTCTGCTAACAGCACCACTATCAGCACTAACGGACAACGGTCCATCACTCTCCATATCGGCCTACGGTGAAGTTCTCAATGGGCCTGTGTCCAGTCGGAGGTTCAAACATCAGCTATCGGGGCAGATTTCCTGTCATATTTTGGCCTTGCAGTCCGCTTGAAACATCGTAAACTCGCCGATGCCACAACCAAAACTATTCACACTTGGTACCATCACCTGTGAACATTCGGTCAACATCCACTTGACTATTCTAGGTTCGCTATTCGCCGACATTTCCAAAGACTACGTATCCCTCATTAAACCTTGTCAGTTCGCCGAAGGAATTCAGCTTGCTGCCAAACATCACATCGTCACCACAAGGTGGACAAAGTGATTTAGCTTCAGTGCAAGAACAGTAAGTCGAGATGAGTAGGAACCGAGACCAGGAACAAAAGTCGTCCGCATATATGCATAAATCATTCATATGGCTTACTCGCATCTTAGCTGTTAGCCGAGATTATGGAATTTTAAAGGTTCCGTTGGTCTGAGTCCTACTCCCCGTGTCCGGAAAATGTGGTCCGAACGGTAGTTAGGAGAGCTGTGTAAACTATTAAGCTCACCCATGACCTCAGAGAGAGAGAGATAACAGGTAAACAGACGATCATAACGCCCGCCATCTCTAGCCACCTCACTATTCGGTTAACATTAACAACCGGTGACTGAGTCACCGCGACGATGTGATAAAAGTGCCTTACGTACTCGCGAAAAGAAATTAAAATTAAAAAACGACAGCATTTAGTCCAGACAGTATAGGCTTTTGAAATTTTTATGAGGGTTTCGCAACATGCGAGTAGGGGCAAATCGTTTGATGCTACAGACTTTGCTATATTAGTCCAGTGGCATGAGATGGAACCTGGATATCATTTTTACAGCTGTCCGGGTGTCAGCAGGTTGTCCTGAAAGGTCTAAGGGAGAGTGTCACTGTGCGAACGACCGAACTTTCCCATGAATCACTGAGAACTCCTTGTCCGGTTGGTCATGTCCCAGTGCCATGCTAATCTCTACATCTTGAGTCCGAGGGACAGAATATGCATCCACTCAACATCTCTCCTTAAGCGGTTTTCCGTAAAAGCACGAGCTCCGAAGAGAGTTTGTCTCGACTTTGCAGCCAGATCTGCCCAAAAACCGAGTGAGCAGGCAGATGGAGAGGCGAGATGAGGGAGCATGCTGGGATGACCCGTCGTTAAGTGTGTCTCCTTGCGTGACGGCGAAGTTCTGCTCATCCCCCTCTTTGCTCATGGCCGAAGAACTCGTTCTCCCTGCGATGTACATGCCTGAGTAACGTATGTAAGTAAAGCTGTCTTGATCGTATCAAGTACCCTGTTTGTTTCTTACCGACTCCGAGCGACGCACACAATGGTGGCAATGCGATGTGTCCTATGCAATTGGATGGATTAGGGAAGAAAATAAATACCGCGACATGGAAGATGGAATAGTTCAGGGCGTTCTAGATATGAAAGCACTACCGGGTGCTATCCTGAGCCAATCATTGGCACCCAGGAGGGTCACGAAATGTCCACTGCTGGGTGGTGGGAGTTACCCGATCGCGGTCGTAACCAATCAGTGAATACTAGTGTGCATGTAATTTAACAGTGAGTGTGTGTAGGCGACCGAATGACCCAGCCTTAACGAACCAACCAGCAATGTGCAGGTCATAGGCGATCGAGTCTGCTGACAAATGTCTTAAATCTTGCGGATGGAAATGGGAGAGATGAAAGCTGTGGAACAATGACTAAGAATAATGCCGGTAACTGCACTGTATGTGCTGGATTTCTGAAACACATTGAGTGACGAAATTGCGTAATCTGCCATCAGACTAGGGCATTCGCAGTCAAAATTGTCGGACCTCGAAAATATGCCTCTCATCGCGTATTCCATCGTGTTAACAGGTTATGCATAACGCTTGCGATAGATCGGACTCTCATATGCTCGGTGGCAGAGCACTCAAGATTAGGTGCAAAGGGCTTTTCTAACTGGCACGAATTGTCATGTCGATGTAAAGCGCCACTGCCTGTTTTGGTGATAGACGTGTGTGCGGAAGTATGTTCGGAAAGGGAATTAAAGTCTCCCCGTCACGAAGTTCATATTTTGTGGATACGTTGATGTCATCTGTTATAGAGACAACGGCATGAAAGCTAAGAGCAAAGCAATGGGCCTGGTAGTTGAAACATGCTCGGCAGCGGACGCCGACATCTCTTTACCTAGGTTCTCGTAGTTGCCGCCGTCCGCTGTGCCTGTCTTGACTTGCTTGCTGATTCTGATCTTCTCGTCAAACGCTGGCAGTTTCATCAACGAGACTAGATAAAATCCTTTACCGCTTGGGACAATCTCTACCCAAACTTCAGAAGGATAGAGGGGTCAGGGGAAGCAGAACAGTTCAATTCATTCCTTGCCCATCATTTTACCACGTTAACTGCCCTCATCCCTCCATTTCCTCTGTCATCTGATGCTCCCCACCACCATTAATTTCGCCCCTGCAACTCTTCGGTAGCTAATAAACCAGCTTGTTTACTCTCACATCACCGAACTTTCTTATTAAACAAATAAGAGACTTTTCTCCTCTGCTAAGCCAACTCTTTTCAGGATTTATCGTAAATGGCTTCTTTCCTGACTATTGGAAAACTTCTATTATTATTCCAGTATTTAAGTCTGGCTGCCGTTCTGATGTTCAGCACTATCGAGGTGTCCATAAAACACCCTCTCCTGCCAAAATCTTTGAAAATGTTATTGCCATCAAAATTCCTGACTTCTGCACATTCAAGCACATTACTGACTCTTTCCAACATGGCTTTTTACGCGATTGCTCTTCTGAAACGTGCCTTATTTTATTCTAAAATGGAGTTTTTTCACTGCTCGCTCATCATTTTTCTTAACAGACTACTTACTCTCTAACTATCTATCGCATATTGTGCAGATCCTGTCTGCCTCCTCCAAAATTCATATGAAAATTCACTTTCACTTGCCAGGCAGGGACCCCGATGGGTCTTAAATGCATTTTTTTCATTTTATTTATGTGTCGTTTATCAATCTACATACTCATCTGCGTATGATCAGTTGATACAAATAATAATAATTGCAATAATAGCGTTGATTGTATTTAATGCCAGTTTACAGGCACCGTCAAGGAAAGATAAAGCATGGATCGGGTCAACAGTGAAAAACGCCCGAGGAGCAAATACAGAGGATGGTGTTTTCGTATAGTTTGGCTGATTAATAAAAAAAAACTGCTGCCCGTGAAGTGACAGTAGTCCAGTTGTCACTGTATCGGATATTTTCAATCTGCATTCCTTTTCATGAAATTGGGACTGGACCAAACGGAAGCATTGAAGAACTGCTGCTCGCTGTCGGCTGAAGAAATTGTCCCTAGTGTGGTCGTTATTTATTTCGATTTTAGTAGGGCCTTTGGTAAAGCGCCATATAGAAGACTTTTAGTTAAATTAGAAGCCCTAGGACTTCGCAGTCGCCTTAGTGACTTTATTATATCATACATTCTTTGTCGTAATAAAGAGGTTTTCGTGGGACTCCATTTCCCAATGAGATTCCCATCGTAAGCTATGTCCTACCATGGAGCATTTTAGGCCCTCTATTGTTTCTACTTTACATCAATGATATCTCATCGGAAGTTGAAAATTATTAGTCTTTTATTTAGGCTGATGACATGCAATGCGTATATTCAGTCACTAAATCATTGTCCCAACATTGGTACCAGCAAATCCATGCTGACCTGCTTGCACTGCCGACGTGGAACTCAAAATAGCTGATGGAATTCTCCCCACCGAAACGCTTTACATGTGTTTTGGATTTGATAGACTATCAAAACCAGTGGCCTTTCAAGGCACACCTGTGACTGAATGCTACAGTTTATTTAGTAAGGATAATGGGCAATGCCTTTGAAAATCCCACTGATTGCATGTCAGCTCGTTAGAAATAACTGTGCACGAACAATGAAGTCATTCTCTATTGAAACAGTACTTGATTCATTTGAGTAACATTGTCTAAGAGTAAATATTTGCGGGCTCGTTGGGTATTTATTTGAGATTCAGACTGTCAAGGGAAAACAGGGGACACAAATAATCATCCAAGCGTTTCTTAAAGAGTTGCCGAGACGTCGCCTCCACGACTGACTGAGGGAGATCGCTCCATTTCTCCACTTCCCTCTGCGTGAAAAATTCAGAACGAAGATTCAGACTGAATGTTCTACGATCAGGAACTGAGGTTTGAGCCACTCCAATTATCTTGTTCTCTCGCTACACGCCGACAGAATTACGGAAAATGCTGTCCAGATTTGTGGCTTTATTTCTAATAATTTCCACCTTCCTAAAAGTAAATCAAGACACTCTCTGGAGGGACTAAGCAGCCGTATATAGGGATAGCACTACTCACCCCCGTGATGGCGAAGGGGCTTGAGAAGATGCCCTAAACAGATGCTGGGTATCCACGCCGTCTGCACGCTGACCGTGGCCGGCAGACGAAAAATTCACGTTTGAAGCAACCAAATCCGAAATAACACTCACTCTCCTCCCACTCCCCCTCCCCGCCGCGCTACTTGTCAGACTGGTAGGGTAAATCAGCTCATCATGGCAGCCTGGAGTGTGCGTTCCCTTTTAGACAATCTGAGGAGTGACCGAACGGAACGGACGACGGCGCTAATAGCGCGGGAATTGGCGCGCTACAAGGTGGACATCCTGCACTCAAAAAGGCCCGGTTCTACGAACAAGGCCAATTGGAGGCGGTGGGTGCGGTCCCACCTTCTTCTGGAGCGATCGTCCCGGGGCAGAGCCACGGGACGCGAGCGTCGCCTTGGCCATCCGTAATGCCATCGTGGGACGACTGCCCTGTCTGTCGCAGGACATCAACGATCACCTGATGAGCCTCCGCCTGCCTCTCCAGGGAGGCAAATTTGCCACCATCGTCAGCGTCTACGTCCCCCTCCCCGACGATGGTCAGCCCTGACGAGGCAAGGGACAAATTCTACTAGGACCTGCACGCCCACCTGGCGACTGCGCCAAAGGCGGTTAAGTTGATTGTCCTTGGTGATTTCAACGTCCACGTCGGCACAAATCATGCTGCCTGGAGAGGAGTTCTGGATCCCCATGGTTTCAACGGCTCCAATGACAATGTCCTGCAACACCCACTTCCGCCTCCCGATGCGAGAGAATGCCACCTGGATGCACACTCGGTCGTGACAGTGGCATTTACTGGACTTTGAACTTGTCCAGAGGTTAGACCATCAGGACGTACTGGTGACAAAGGTGACTTCGCGTGCCGACGGGTGGACCGAATATCGTCCAGTCCCATCCAAGCTGCGGGTTATAATAATAATAATAATTTTTATTCAACACACGTGGGGGTCAATTCGTGGGAATTAAGAATAAATTTTACATTAATTTATGAATTTTAGACGAGGTATACCGAATTTATACAGTACTTAATTCATAGTTATTGAATAATTAGTATGATTCGAAGAATGTTGAGTGAGCAAACAGCCTCGCAGGAGACCTCAAGCAAGCGACTCCCAGGCAAGCTGAATATTGCTATGTCGTCTTTGCCTGCTCACCATTTCCATTTCAACAACGGGCTAGCTCGACAGCTAGCCAACCTTCCAGTCGCTGCTGCCGCAGCCACCGCTTACGAGAACGCCTCCGTGGAGAACCGATGGTGATACAAGCGAAAATGCGAGTTCCAGGAACTAGTTGATCAGAAGAAGAAGCGATCGCTGGAACAATGGCTTTATTCGCCTGACGTTTCGGATTCTCTCTTGAATCCATCATCACAGACAGTTGCAGAAAAGGGTGGCTAGTGTACAGGAAGTTGCAGTATTTATAGGTTGCGGTCGCCATGCTACCGCATACCTACAGCAATTAATCGTGCTCACTTCATCAAGGATTGTTGCCCGCTGGTGCGCTAATTGCTTGATGGCCGGCATGCACTTTGTTAATTGCTGACATCTCATCACCCGTGTTGGATGCTGGCGTGACGATTGCTCGGCCATCTGGCTCACGTGCTTGCGCGCTCCTCGAGTGGTCAATTGCTTTGGCCAGTCTATGCCTCAGGACAGAATATGGAGTGGGGATGTCGTTTCACTTGTTGATAGACTGAGGTCCCGTGAACCAGTCAGAACCGATGGTGTCAGCAAGGGGACATAGTCCAGCCGACGGCCCTCCCGCCCTCCCTCCACACCTCTTCTCCGTCCTTCACTCTCCTTACGGTCTTATCCCATGGTCGGAAGTCCTACGGCGAGTGACACAGAACTCACTCAAGCGGATCAGGCCATTTATAGTTCTCTCACTAAAGCCCATGATCCATAGTGGAGAGCGGTGTCCCTCTGATGCGACAAAGCAGCCATATTTAGGGAAAGCTCTGCTTTTCCATGTGAGGGAGAGGGGTTATAATAGGTGCCCTAAACAAAGAGAGGTTGACGACATCTGAGCGCAGATCCTGACTCGGAGACTTCAAAAGATGCGGTCGAAACCACAACACAAGACAAAATACTCTCTCCCTCCACCCCTCCCCCCTCCCTGCCGCACCGCCTCACAGGCAGCTGGGGTGAGTCCGCACACGCTGGCAGCCTGGAATCTTTGTTCCCTTTTAGAGGTTAGCTTCTCATGTGGATTCCAAGCCTTGTACTCTGCCGATCTCAAACTGTCCATGTCAGTGACCAGCACTCTGCTGAGGTTGCCGTTACGAGTGGTGTTTCCAAAGATTCCGTTCTTGACACTACTCTATTCATTATATATGTCAACGACTGCGCAAATGAAATGGATTGCAATGTCCCAATGTTTGCTGATGATATAAAGATCTGGAGTACCATGCAAAATGAAATTGACGAGGCGCGATTGCAGACAGACCTAGACCATCTCGATCAGTGGTCGAACGACTGGATTCTGCTGTTTAACGTAGACAAGCTACGCCAGCTTCGGCTTCCAAACACCCGCCCAACCAACCGCTACTTCGAACCAACGGCAGAATACGCGTCTGTTCGCTGCTGCCTGATAAGTGGCCAAAACTCGCGGCACGCGAGGTAATGTACGCATCAGCGAAATTCATGCCGATGGAATACCGGAATAGCGCACGATCACTTTTGATGTTAGAAACTAATGGAAATGGGACATTTGCAGGAGAAGGCATTCGTTCAAGAACGGATTCATATACCATATCTGACACGGCCTGTTTTCAGTAAAGCACCCTTATCCTCAGATGCGCCAGCACCTGGACCATGCAGCTCGTCCACATGTGCACACACGACCTGGTCCTCAACAACTAGGTCACAAATCTCATAAACGTAGCAATAAAATGATGTTTACATTTAAAATGAACTTTTGCGGTCCGACCCACAACCCTGAGTGGAATCGAGTTGCCACGGCATTAGGTAAACTTTCAAGTCGCGACTGAGAGCGCGTCGTGAGAGACTCAGGCGCGTCAGATTTATGATAATAATAATGATTTTATTTAATGCCTGTTTACAGGCATTGCCAGGGAAGCGTTAAACACAAATCCGACCAGCAGTAAAAAAACTGCTGTAGCAAACAAATAAAAATACAGATGATGGTGGTTTTTATGGTTTGGAGGGTTCAGGAGAAAAAAATTACTGACGGCACACCTTCGACCGTCAAGAAGGGAGGGGTTTCACGGTATCGGATATTATCAGTCGCCAATTTCTTTCATGAAGATAGAGATAGTTCAAACAGAAGCGCCAAAGAACAGCTGTCGCTGTTGGCCAAAGAAATTGTCCCTGGTGAGACCGTCCATAATGGTCGGAGACCACAAACGCCATCGCTACGGTAGAGTCGATCAGTGGATTCAGCACGCAAAATTTGTGGGAGCTTTACTGAATGCAAAAACCGAGTATTAGTTCTCTTAAATAAAAGATAATTTTGCAGAGTCTGCACACTCCTGGATAGTTTATTCCAAATAGTTATTGCATTTACAGAAAAGAAGCGACGATAGTGAGGATTGCGATAAACTACCGTGACAATGGATACCTCAGTGTCGACCTCTCTTATATACACCAATTGACTTTCCGCGCCTGTCAACCAACTGACGGCAAGTTTGGGAGCAGTGGCCGACGTGACGTGAAAGCCTTCGTCCGAAGGACGCCACTCATGTATTGGGCAGTCGTTACGGTCACTCACGGACTTTGCGAAGCCCAATAAACTCGCTCTAGAACAAATAAATCGCTGTTACGCAAACGTGCCCTTCACAGAATGAAGTTGAAAACTAAGTGAGGTAAGATTTGGTCAGGAAAAGGAGTATGATTGTGGGCAAGCACCGATTTAGTTAGGCGTCTGATGGCAAGTCAAGTTCATCGTCTAGTTCAAGGGAACGTGGGCAGGCGACCAATCAAACACTGTCATATGTCACCAGACGAAAACGAAGTGTAAGCTGCGACAGTGTCTCTCTAAGACATACTTGTGGCCTCTGCAGACAGGAATACGGCAAACAAACACCTGATACCGGACTTACGCTGATGGACGCAGGAGCCTGGCGCATACAGTAGGCTGATGAGGTCAGACGGATAGGTCAACAGTCCTATGGGACCGAAGGTAGTCAGTGCTTCAACATCCGTCAATGATGGCTCGCCTTTTGTTGCATCAGTTATGTGCAAGCAATGGCTGATGAACGAGACGAGAGTGACTGTGTGGCCCATGAGAAAGGCAGCTGTCCAGTGAGGGGGATCTCCGGCCGTGCAGGGTGGACAAAATATTCTGCTAGGAGAGGCGATGATCGGCTAAGTGGCCTCATCTGGATCTTGCTTCTATGAAATACCTACTTATGTCGTTTCAGTAGGCGTAACTGGACCCATTTAATTTTGATCATTCCTCGTCACACCTCCTTCGGGAGTTCACATTAGGGTCGATGATCGTCACCGACAATGAGATCTGCTCCCAATGGGCTATCTACCTATTGGCTCATTGAGCCCGGATTAAAACCTTGGATGCCCAGCCTCAAGGACGACGAATAAGCCAGAATTTACCATTTGAATGTGTCCACATTCCTTTTCAGAAGCACCGGCAAGAGTTTCTTTGACGCAAATATGACAAAGGTGGTTGTACAACGTTGGGCACAGTGGCCGCTGTCATCAGTGGAGCGAGAAAAACTGGATCTGCAGATGAAAAGGAATCAAGCGTCGAGTGGGGCATTCCAATTGTATGGAAAGACGGACTACAGTCGATTTCTCTCATCTCCCACATGTATCACTTGCCCTCTGATCCCATATAAATGTACTGGTCCGATGATCATTTATCGAAGGCACGCGTCTGATCGCCAACTGGTTTTCTGAAAACTTCCATGCGAATTTTCGCAACTCTAAAACGGTTGTGCTTTCGTTACCTATATCATACTGTTCTCCCACCGCACAGTACGCACAGTGATCCCCGAAACTCTCGGCAACGCTATGCCGGTCATCTGAGGTATAGGCCGAATCAGCCGCGGTTATAGCCGCGATTGTTGGAAGGAGTAGCTACCCGAGGCATAGCTTTCGGACATCCGCACGACCAGCCGCCACTTTGAACTGCTCACGGCGTACGCAGTTGTCCGAGTCGACCAACTAACTGACGGTTAGTACAGGAATAGTGGCTGCCGTGGCGTGAAAGCCTCCGTCTGAGGGGTGCCACCCGTGTGTTTGGCAGTAGTCAAGAACTTGCGCAGACTTGGCGAAGCCTAGGGAAAAGGCCGGAAGGGGTGGACAAAATCGTCTGCTGGAGAGGGCGACAATCTAGTATCTGGCCCCACTTAGTCCTCGCCTCTACGTAATACCTATTTATGTCATTTGGGTAGGTTTAATTTAACCCCATCCCTTCCGCTCATTCCGCGTCACGCCTTCCCCATGTGTTGCCATCACGGCTAGCGTTCGCCACCGAGAGGTTGATCCGATCCAAAAAGGTTATCTATGCATTGGCTAACTGTGCCTGGGTTAAACCTCACGTGTCCAGCGTCTAGGACAATAAAAGTGCCATAAATTGGCATTCAGATGTGTCCCCAAACTTCCTAGGGGACACAGTGGACGAAAAGTTGCTCGTGCAAGGTTAGACACAGTGGACCCCCTCCTTAGTGGAGCGGGAGAAACCTGGTCTGCATTTAAAAGGAATTCAAGTGTCCGCTTAGGCACTGCTTTGAAGAGAAAACAGTTATACATTCGTTTCGAGCATAATGCTGTACTGCCTCATTTTACGCGGCAAATGGACAATCATTGGGAATCTTAAAATTGCGTAATGTTACCTTTCAGCCGTTGGTGTGCATCGGGGTATCTGTGAAAGGGAGGTGGGTGTCAACGTATAAGCCTGCTGATTGGCCAATTAGGCTCATGATATTCCCACGCATCGGTGTAACGCCCCTGGACTTGGACAGAGTTGTTTGAATGAGTATTCAGGGAAGCTAACGACTCTGTTCAGATTACTCTCCTCCAGGATCTATTCTCAACGTTCTCTTACTCTGGTGTGTGCTACCCTTGACGTCCTCGGCCGCTACATTGGTGGCAGCGGTGGGATGGAGAGGAGCACACACCTTCCCCCTCCCCTCCCGCGCACCAACTCCAGCAGCACTGAGGACAGTGCTGCATCTCAGGAGGAGGCTATGTAACGCCCCTGGACTTGGACCGAGTTGTTTGAATGAGTATTCAGGGATGCTAACGACTCTGTTCAGATTACTCTCCTCCAGGATCTATTCTCAACGTTCTCTTACTCTGGTGTGTGCTACCCTTGACGTCCTCGGCCGCTACATCGGACCCACACCGGTCCTCTGCTCTTACAAACGCATGCTGTCAAGCGCTTGTATATTTTGACTCAGCAAGGGCTTTGTGGACATGATTACTCTCAGTGCAAATGCAGTCAACGAATTTCTTCGCCGCTATTTCGCAAATGTCACACCTTTTTCACATTTGTGTTCCACCATTAGATTTATCCACTCTGCACACCAAAGCTACATGTAAAATCTTTTCATTTTAACTATTTTTCTTCACACCTGTACCATTTAAATGAAGTTTTAATAGCTTCGGTCATGTATTTCAAATATACTAATTGACTGACTGATTGGTACCCGGATCCAAACCAGAAAATCCGCCTAAACGGTCCGAACGGATAAACTTCTCATCCAACTTGCCATCTCCTTTGTCTGTAAGGCGACCATAACTAGGGCATCATCAGGCAATTTGCTCATTTCTACCCACTATGCCACCTGCCACCTTTTTTCACGATTAAGTAACGGACTTTGCAGCAGCATAAACTGCCATACACTTCGCCACGCACAGAATGATTGCTTTTTGCCGAATTTGGACACCTCGAGTCTCTTTACCTACACTGTCCCATGGTCATACCGTTTCACACTCACAACCGGCAAATCACCTCCGCGTTGATGAGGCCGCCGCGTGCACATCGATCGTGCGGGTCGATATCTCGGATTCAGACGGCACGGATCGATGACTGTCTCTTTGAAAGCATCCCAATCCCTACACCCCTCAGTCTGCTAGAGGATGCCTGTCCGGACGGATCTGGTTCTACGCCTCTTTCACTTCTGGCTGGAGAATGTACTTATTCCTCTTCTTAGGGCCTATGAAGCTAAGCTTAGGGAACTACAAACTCAAGCTCTGGATATATACGGTAAGTTGCCAAGTTTTCTGCCTATTACATGCTGGCTGTGCGTTTTCAGTGTCCTTTAGCACCAATTAAGGGGTAAACACAAGTCTTCTCCATGCATTAATGTTATTTAATCCGAGTTAAAGAGGCTGGGCATGTACGTTAGTCTTGTTAGTACAGATAAGAGACAGACTGAATGCAACCCATAATGATTGGACACTTTAAGGGTCATGCTCTGAGATTCATTCATGAGTATCCCGCCAAAGGGCCTTGCTAACTAAAACTAAATGCATTAGTAGGTATTTTGAAAAGCTTCCATAAAATTGCTTGCGTGACATATGCCGGAAGTGGTTTTACTGGTTAAACTTGGAAAGATGTAAGGAGTTCTCACTTTCCGTGCAGGAGAAGCACGATACGTTCTTCTAGGCCTTATAGAAAGCTACTGGCATCCGTTTCTTACTCATTTACTCTAAAACTGGGCAGAAGACGTTGAGACTGGATGGGATGGCCCACAACTGAGAGAAAATCAACTATCGAGATCTGCAGAAGGACTTCAAGAGTTCGGTCAGAAAGTGCGATGTCGGGATGGGATGGGATGTAGGAATGTCCTGTTAGAAGAGGATGACTAAACCATGGTCGACATATCGACGTCCAACGCTACCCCTACCTAACCAATAGGGTGCGAACAGGGTGGATTTGTGCAGAAAATAACCCATGACAAACAGCGTCGCTCTCAGTGTCTAATAACTAGATCCTTAGGCGAATGTTCTTGTATGCGTCTGTTGTTTTTTCCTAGGTAATTACTCCACGGTTGCTGCTCAGGGGGATGCATCTAGCGACGGATCATCCCAGCATTTCCCCCACATCTACCCCTTCCCCGATCTCGGCTTTCCATCACCACTGCCTCCGACTACCACCACCGCCTCATGCTCCATCAACTGCCCCCCATCCACCGCCACCTACCGGATCGTACATTCTGCAGAAACGCCCTCCACACCGTCATCCGGAGAAGATTCATCATTTGAACATTCATTGCCTGTTCCGACACCCAGGCATACGGATTCTCTTCTCCGGATGGCGGCGATTGGCCAGACATTCGACATCCAGCTCCCAAAACGCCCTGTCGCCGCTCCTGCTCAAACTCACAATGGCCAAACATTTGACATCGTCGACGAGGATCCGACAGACGTCGACATAGCCAGGCTGCCAAGCCTCAGCAGCCAGGGAGAGTCCACATCCGAATATGCAAAGGCGTTCTCCACGCATCCAGTCCATGTGGCCTCGACTAGAAGCTCGGTTTCACGACTCGGACAGGTCAACAGCCTGGTGGAGCGTGTGTCTTTCAGGTAATTGCCCTTTACCAGTATGTCTCAACACTACACACTCAAAACATGCCAAAGGGCAGTCAGATTTAAAGTCAAGACGAGAAAGAACATAGACTGGGGCCCAATGGCCGTTTGCATATTACTTCCTCGCCCATATGCCAGTCTTTAAATGTGTCCACCCCCTACCCTTGCTTACATTTCAGTGAATTGAGTCTGATTCCAAGTATTCGGAAAATGGGGGCTGAACGCCTACCTCACGGCGTTATTGAGCTGTACGAGCCCATCAAAATGGAGACTTGCCTGAGTAACGCTGAGCGTCAAGCCTATCCACGCATCCACATTCAGAGGAAACAGGGTAAGCAGTAACCCTCACCAAATTTAATATGTCATTCTGAGCAGCTGAACCCTTGGAATTCTAAATACTGTGTTATATGCATGTAGTGGGAGCCTACTTTAAGCTACCAACCCACCTTTCTAATACGGTTTAATGAGACGAGCCCCTAAATCTCCTTCTTGCAGCCGTCTTTAGGCCAACAGTCTCCGTCATAAGGGCTCGTTCTGGAAGTGTTACTCTGCGCGAAAGCCAGGTTTCCAATGAACCACTGGCAACTCCTCGTAGGGTAGGTCATTTTCCTACACCATGTTAGTCCATAGTACTTGAGTCTCAGTGGACGGAGCATGCGTTTTCACTCTCCTCATTAACTCCAAATCTGTCCTTTCCGCGGCGGTCGGCAGTGGCACGAGTCCTGCGGAGTGTTTGGCGTCGACTTTGCAGCTGTGTCAGCCCAGAAGCCGAGTGAGCAAACTGATGGAAAGCCGAGATGAGGGATCATGCTGGGATGATCCGTCGCTAGATGCATCCCCTAGCACGCCGGGGAAACCCCGCCCCTCCCACGTCCTTGTCCTTACCCAAAAAACCCTTCCCCCGTCCAATGTACATAATTGAGTAACCTATGTAAGTAAAGCCATCTTAGTCACATTAAATACCCTCTTCGTCTTCAACCAACCTTCAGCGATGCATACGGTGGGAGCAATGCGATGTGCCAAACGCCATTGCACGGACGATTATAATACAAGAGTTGGTGGGTACCGAACGCGCTCGAAGTTCAGGGGAGAAATTAAATACCATCGCACAGAATACTCCGGGTCACCCAAATACGAAAGCCGGCCATCTGAGTCCCGGTGTATCTCTAGGCGTACACTGCTAGGCTGTGAGGGTTACCAGACGGCGTTCGCAGCCAATCGGAAGACGCAGGTGTGTGCACGACCGCAGGACCCATCTTAGTTGACTTAACAAATAGCACGCAGTTCATAAGCAGCTCCGAGATGGCCTAGGGACACGGGTCAAAGCCGAATCCTTGGGCAGTTAGAGTCAATGCACAATGCTCGTGACAGATCGGCCTCTCAGAAGACGCAAGATGCCGAGTAGAGATAAACCCTAACTGCCAACAGTAAATAGGCAAATGCATCCAAAATCACGACGATGGCGCCCTCCACTGGAAAGGCGATCCACACTCCGCTCGAACGACACTAGGTTTACCAACATACGCTTCCAGACATGAATATGGACAGGTGATCTGAGGAAGCGCATGATTGCCAGACCGATGTTTCGAAATCAAATGAACTCCTATCGGTGTTGACTACAGGACTGTTGGTAATGTTACTGGCCTCGCTGGCGAACCGATAGTCAAGGCTCACTTGCGCTGGCTTCGCGGATACGTGACATTGCGACGACCGCTCTCTATCAGTCAGCCATGGAGTTCCGGATGTAACCGGCGTCAGTGCCGTTCTTCAAAGCATAGTCAAAATTACAGACCAACAGACCTCCGACTCAGATCCAAGGTCAGACTGCTTATTTTCACGTCCGAACACTCCTTCGCTAAAGGTAAATGACTGAGCGGAATGAGCGCGAAAACTTCTTCTGTTACCCCACTGAGGCTTACGCCATCGGAACTTCCACAAAGAGCTCTGTCACTTTCCTTTGATCGCTTCCTCGGTGGCTGTGCCAGTGTTGCCATCTTCCTCCTTAATGTCCACACAGACGTCGGCTAGGATGACCTCATAAGACTTCGCACGCGCCCGTACAATTACGCAAACAATGATTCACAGCGTCTCTCTCCCCCCGCCCTCCTCCCAAACTATCGTTCCCTTGGCCAGGGATTTCGACATTCCCTCAACCGACTTTGCGCCCAGCTGCAGCACGGATCAACTTCGGAGCTTAAGCCTAGCGATGTCTAAGACGCACGATAACCACAAAATCCACTGCATGCTGAACTGCAAATAGCCGGAGTGCACGAGGTCGATGTTACAGACCACTCATTCACCAAAAGCACAGTCGTTACTAGCAAAGGCCATGCGCCAAGCAAATGACCTACAAGGCCTTTGTCTCCAACAGACACTCAATCGACAGGCATAACCTCGTCTTGAGTCAAGGCACAACAAAAACGACTCCCCCCCCCACCCCACAGCAAACATGAATGGGTCAGGAAACCAGTAATGCGCACCCCACTGACAACTAACTGGAAACACGTCTGCACACCGAGATACCTACGTGTGGTAAGGAGATTTCGGCATTTGAACCGGCGCAGTTTTAGAAACGGATGGGCGGCCAACCTGATCAGATAAACGATTCTGAGAAATAAACAACTGTTAGCTAAACACAAAGAGGAGGAAGAACAAATATATTTACAATAGTGTCATAAAGAGGGGAGCAAAAGGCGTTTAAGAAAGTTTTCGGAAATTGCGGAACACCGGGTAGACCTTAGCAAATGTTTCGTAGACCAATGCGATGGACTTGGCGTCTGGAAAATGCGGAAAACAAATGACTGAGAGAAGGCTTTGGAAAGGTGCCCATGCAGATAACCCTGCCAGGCCGAAATGGCTTTGACAAGCTCAACTATAATCGCGACCTTGTCATTCACAAAAATAAAGAAAACAAGTTTTAAATTGACAAGCCGGGGCTCTGATTTAAAACTTAAACGTCCAAGTTCCCTCCTGTAGTCTGGATAGCTCGCATTTCGAACGACAGACGACGACAAGTCTTGTACAGATAGTCCGTCGTTACAGAAGACCAACAAAGCCAACAGTTGGCGACTTAGGTTTATGACAGACGGAAAGGCCTCTAAAAGAGTTCGCTACAATTAAACGCACCAATCACCGAGAAAACTAGACAGCTGACAGTTCACAACTGGAGCATCAGCCAGAAAGGTCAAGCAGAGCGCTGGGGCCCCACTGATCAGCCGAAATCCTCGCAGCTGCGTCATGCAGCAGTACGAAACCGGCCAAAACACATGCCTGGGTCTTAAGTTGGCGCCTGTGGTGGACTACTCAGTATTAGCCAACGGACAGTACCCACGTTTATAACTATAGTGTCGGTACAGTAACCCATCACGGCTTTGTTGTTCCCTTTCGGAAATATAGCCCCGTTTACCTAGAACGACTTACTGTAGTTTTAAACCCCCCAGCCTCATATGGGTGTTCCGTCAAAACTTGGAATATTATAAGCGGAAAGGGATGTATAAATACCGTTGAGGGAATTACATACACGAAAGAAAAACTAACCGAGTCGGCACTGGTTGACAAGTAAGCTCGAGGAGCCGCCTAATGCTGTTAACCTTACTACTGCGTGATAGACACGACAGTCAGTTACTATGTTTTCACTCAAAGTAATTTCTTTAAAGGAACCGGCTGCAGACAGTTGGCGCGATCCGTAAGCGTTTCAAAAATTCTACAAAAAGGCAACCGTTGAAAGAAGCATAACGTGGGAAGTTAGACTCACTAATAAAGAACAATTACAAAGTAAAGCGTCAAACATTCAAGATGGGACGATGGGAACTAGGCAGAAACGTTACAACACTTACCGTGCCACCTGTCCATGGCTAGAAGGTCGTCAATCTGAACACCGTTCTTCTTTAACTGCAGCTGGTATCTGACATCGTCCTTTCTGATCGACGAGGATCCAACTGACGTCGACATCGCCGGGCTGTCAAGCCTTAGCAACGAGGGAATGGCTGCATCCGAATATACAAAAGTGTTCTCCACACATCCAGTCTCAGTGGCTTCGACCAGAAGCTCATCTGCACGACTCGAACAGATCTACAACGAAGAGCGTGCGTCCTTTAGGCAATTGTCCCCTACGGGTATGTTTGGTCACCGCACACTTACGAGATACCAGACGGCTCTCTGGATCAACACACTAGCAGGGGAATCGTACGATGAATAATTCACGCATTTACATGGAAAGCCGTCACAAGGTAGCCGGCGGTGCCTCCACACCCACTGCTACCTGCAGTCTAGACATGACAGGCTGCAGAATACTTCATTAACACTAAAATTTTAACTGGAGCTTGTGCCGGTGCCATCGCACCTACGGTCCAAAAGCACCTTAGTATATTCCGCCTTGCGCATTCCAACAATCGCCACAACGCTTGGAAGACCGCCAGCCAGTAATAGTGACAAAAGCCGCCGAGTAGTCCCCTCTTCTACATCGGTGACAAGTTGGGCGGCCGATACCGCTATTGAGGTTGACGTCATTTCGCCTGCTAGGCATCACTACCTGGGCCCCAAGGCTTTGCAATTTCCATTGCTGTCCGCTAACAGCACCACTATCAACACATACGGACAACGGTCCATCACTCTCCATATCAGCCTCCGGTGATGTTCTCAATGGGCCTTTGCCCAAGCTGATGTTCAACCGTCTGTTATCGGGACAGATTTCCTGTCATATTTTGGCCTTGCAGTCCACCTGAAACATCGTAAACTCGAGATGCCACAACCAAACTTTTTGCACTTGGTACCATCACCTGAAAACCTTCGGTCAACATCCACTTGACTATTCTAGGTTCGTTATTCGCCGACATTTCCAAAGACTACGTATTCCTCATTCAACTTTGTCAATTCGCCGAAGAAATTCAGCATGCTGCCTAACACCAAATCGTTCCCACAAGGTGGACAAAATGACTTAGCTCCGTTCCTATAGGAACGGAGACCAGGAACAAAAATCGTCTGCATATGCATAAACCATTTATATGGCTTCTTCGTATCTTAGCTGTTGGCCGAGATTATGGAATTTTAAAGGTCCCGTTGTTCTGATACCTACTCTCAGTGTCCGGGAGATGTGGCCCGAACGGTAGTTAGAAGAGCAACTGAAGTGCGCATGCCCAGCAAAGTAGAAACGTGCTGTAGCTGTGTAAACTATTAAGCTCACCCATGACCCCACAGACAGATCTCGAGATAACAGGTAACCAGACGATCGTAAGACCCGCCATCTCTATCTACCTCACTATTCGATTAACATTAACAACTGGTGACTGAGTTACTGCGACGACGTCATAAAAGTGCCTTACGTACTGGAGAAAAGCAATTAAAATTTAAAAAACGACAGCATTTAGTCCAGACATTATGGGCTTTAAAATTTTTTATGGAAGTTTCGCAATATGCGGGAAGAGCCAAATAGTTTGAAGCTACTGACTTTGTTATATTAGTACAATGGCACGAGATGGAAATGCGATATCCTTTTTACAGCTGTCCGGAGCTCAGCAGCCTGTTATGAAAGGTCTAAGGAAGAGTGTCACTGTGCGAGCAACCGAAGTTTCCCATGAATCCCTGATAACTCCCTGTCCGGTAGGTCATGTCCCAGTTTCATGCTAACCTCCTCTTCTTGAGTCCGAGAGACAGTAAATGCATCCACACTCTCCTCATTAACTCAAAATTTTTCCTTAAGCGATTTTCGGTAGTGGCACGAATTCCGCAGAGAGTTTGCCGTCGGCTTTGCAGCAGCATCTGCCCAGAAACCGAGTGAGCAGGCAGATGTAGAGGCGAGATGAGGGAGCATGCTGGGATGACCCGTCGTTAAATGTGTCTCCTTGCGTGCCGACGAATATCTGTCCACCCTCCCCTCTCTACCCATAAGCGAAGAACACTCTCCCCCCCCCCGGGATGTACATGACTGAGTAAGGTATGTAGGTAAAGCTGTCTTAATCATATCGAGTGCCCTCTTTTTCTCCTACCGACCCCGAACGACGCACACGGTGGGGGCAATGCGATGTGTCCTATGCAATTGAATGGATTAGGGAAAAAATAAATACAGCGACATGAGAGGTGGAATAGCTCAGGGCGTCTTAAATACAAAAGCACTAGTGCGTGCTATTCTGAACCATTCATTGGGACCTCGGAGTGTCATTAAATAGTCACTGCTAGGTGGTGGGAATTACCCGATTGCGGTCGTACCCAATCAGTGAATGTTGGTGTACATGTAGTTTGACGGCGAGGGTGTGTACGCGACCGTATGATCCAGCTTTATCGACCCAACCAGCAATGTGTAGGTCATAGACGATGTAGTCTGCTGGCAACTGTCTTAAATCTTGCGGATAGGAATGGAGGAGATGAAGGCTGTGGACAAATGACCAAGACTCATTCCGGTTACTGCACTGTATATGCTGGATTTCTGAAACGCACTGGGCGGCCAAACTACGTATTCTGCAATCAGATTAGGGCTTTCGGATTCAAATTTGTCGGGCCCTCCAACATCTGCCTCTCATCGCGTATTCCATAGTGTTAACAGGTTATGCATAACGCTTGTGACAGATCGGACTGTCACATGCTCGGTGGCAGAGCACTTAAGATTATGTGCAGAGGGCTTTTCTAACTGGCACAAATAGCCATGTCGACGTAATGCGCCACCGCTTGTTTTGGTGATAGACGTGTGTGCGGAAGTATTTTCGGAAAGGGAATTAAAATTCCCCAACTACGAAATTAATATTATGCGGATACGTTGACGGCAGCTGCTATAGAGACAACGGCATGAAAGCTAACAAGGAAGCAGTGGATCTGGTAGTTGAAACATGCTCGGTATTGCACGCCGACATCTCTTTACCCAGGTTTTCGTAGTTTCTGACGTCCACTGTGCCTGTCTTGATGTTGACTTACTTGCTGATTCTGATCTTCTCGTCGAACGCTGGCAGTTTCATCTACGAGACTAGATCATGTCCTTTACCGCTTGGGACAAGCTCTATCCAAAATTCAGAAAGATAGAGTAGTCACGGGAAGCAGAGCTGTTCAATTCATTCCTTGTCCATCATTTTACCACTTAATTTGGCTTCATCCCTTCAATTTCGCTGTCCTTCGATGCTTCCCTCATCACCATTAATTTTGCCCCTGCAAATATTCGGAAGATAATAAGCCAGCTTGCTAAATCTCCCTCAGTAGGAACTGACAACATCACCGAACTTTCTTATTAAACGACTAAGAGATTTTTCTCCTCTTCTAAGCAAACTCTTTTCAGTATTTCTCGTGAATGGATTCTTTCTTAACTATTGGAAAACTTCAATTATTATTCCAGTATTTAAGTCTGGCTGTTGTTATGATGTTCAGAACTATCGAGGTGTCCATAAAACACCCTCTTCTGCCAAAATCCTTGAAAAATTATTGCCATCAACATTCCTGAATTCTGCATATCCAATCAATTTACTGGTTCTTTCCAACATGGCTTCTCCAGAGCGGAAGTCGACAAGGTTGAGTCGCCATTGTTGATTGGTTGAGGGTAGATCTAGGGTGGACAGTTAAACAAACTTAGGCCAGGGCTACTTTGCTTAATTTTAGGGTTATAATAATTTCAGTCAGTATCAGTCAGTATATTTGGAGTAAACAACAGAAGCCATGAAAACTCCATTTAGAGGGTACAGGTATAAAGTAAAATAGTTAAATTGCAAAACTTTTGCTTGCAGTTTTAGTTTTAGTAGGAGAATTCATAAATCTAATAATGTAACATGAAGGTGAAAGGGGTATTATATTCGCAAATTAATTGCGAAAAACTTTGTTCACCACATTCGGACTGTGAAAATTTCAATATGGGCTAAGTTTGACGCAAAAATAGGATCTGTTGAAATCCTGTGAGTAGTATATTTATAGTCATTTCAATAATCCGTTAGATCAGGCTTCGGCAGTTTGGGTTGCCTTTCAGCAGGTGAGTATCCAGTTGTCTCTTGAACACGTTCACGGTAGGGGAATTAACAACAAACTCCGGCAAAGAGTTCCATTGGCGAATGACCCTCTGTGAGAAAAAGGAGGAACGTTGATTTGTGTGGCACAGTTCCTTTTTGAGCTGGTAATCATGTCGTCTGAGATTGGATTTGGGTGCCATTTCAAAAAACGTTTCCCAGTCGACATCCAGATTAAGTCCTTTTACCAACTGGAACGTTGCTATGAGGTCACCTCTGTCCTGCCTGTAGTGGAGGGGATAGAGGTTCAAGGCCGTCAGGCGCTGCTCGTACGTGAAGTTTTTGAGGCCATGAACAGCCTTTGTAGCACGCCGTTGTACACCTTCAAGGATATCTATATCCTTCCGAAGCCACGGCCGCCAAGCCTGTACCGCATATTCCAGGTGCGGCCGCACAAATGTCCCGTATACTTTGCCAAAGACATCTTTATTCAAGTGAATAAAAGTTCTGCGTATCGCGCTCATAACGGACATTGCCCGCGCAGCGACTTTAGAACACTGCGTGGTGACGCTTAGATCGTCTTTAATGAACACACCGAGATCTTTTTGCACATCTACGGTTTTAAGTGGTTGATTGTCCAGGAGATATTGTCGTGGGGGTGCATTTGTTCTTCGCCTCGCTGATACTACGTGCATTACTGCACATTTTTTGACGTTGAATTTCATGCACCATTTCTCGCTCCATGCGTGCAAAATCGTTACGTCCTCTTGTAGCATCCTGACGTCATCTTTATCTTTTATCGCTCTCCAAAGTTTAAGGTCGTCTGCAAAGAGTGCTATGTCTGATTTCACTTCCCGTACCAGGTCATTTACATAGATAATGAATAGGAGCGGCCCAAGAACTGACCCCTGTGGGACTCCACTCGTAACACGTGCCCATTCTGAGCAGTAGCCGCCCGCAGTGACTTTTTGTTGCCGTCCGTTTAGGAAATCTTGAATCCATTTCAGAAGATTTCCTCTTATCCCTACTTCTGATAACTTTTGAATGAGGCGCTTATGTGGGACGCAATCGAACGCCTTGCTGAAGTCAAAGTAAATGACATCAACTGGATATCCTTTATCCATGGCCTTTGACCAATGTTCGAGTGACGAAAGCAGATTTGTGAGACAGGACCTCTTTTCGCAGAAGCCATGTTGAACTGAGGCGATGTGACAGCGGAAAGTATCGAGTGATGTAATAGATTTTTTAACTAGCCTTTCCATCAGTTTGCAGCAAATGCATGTCAAACTAACCGGCCGGTAGTTCGTGGGACATAGCCGTGATCCTCCCTTGTGGATAGGTACGACGTTTGCCAACTTCCATGTGTCAGGTAGTTTGCCAGCTTCCAGCGATTTTTGGAAGATTATAGAAAGTGGCTCTGCTAATACTATATGCATACTTTTTGTGAGAGGCCAAACTACGACTAAGTGCCTGGCGTATAAATGTGCAAAAGTTCGGCGTGCGCGCCTCTAAAGGGGCTTGGTTTCTAGAACCTTCTCCAAGATGGCGGCCGCACATGATCTGGCATTTTAGATTCCTACAACCCGATTGCTCTTCTGAAACGTGTATTATTTTACTCTAAAATAGAGTTTTTTTTTCACTGCTTGCCCATCATTTTTCTTGACAGACTACTTACTCACTAATTATCAATTGCATAGTGTGCGGATTCTCTCTACCTCCTCCAAAATTCATATGAAAGTTCACTTTCCCTTGCCAGGAGGGGACCCCGACGGGTCTTTAATAAGATTTATATGTCGTTCCTCAATCTACATACTTGTCTTCGTAATTATCACTGGATAAAAATAATAATAATAATTGTAATAATGGCATTGATTGTATTTAATGCCAGATTACAGGCACCGTCAAGGAAAGATAAAGCATGGATCGAGCAAACAGTGAAAACGCCTGAGGAGTAAATACAGAGGATGATGGTTTCGTATAGTTTGGATGGTTCATGACAAAACTGCTGCCCTTTTAGTGGCGGTAGTCCAGAAATGGATGGTTAACACTGCATCGGATATTTTGAATTTCCATTCCTTTTCATGAAATAGGGATTGAACCAAACACAAGCATTGAAGAACTGTTGCTCGCTGTCAGTTGAAGAAATTGACCCTAGTGTGGTCGTTATTTATTTCGATTTTAGTAAGGGCTTTGGTAAAGCGTCATATAGAAGACTCTTAGTTAAATAAGAAGCTGTAGGACTTCGCAGTCCCTTTAGTGGCTTTATTATATCATGCATTCTTAGTCATAATAAAGAGGTTTTCATGGGACTCCATTTTCCAATGAGAATCCCATTGTAAGGTATGTCCTACAGGGTAGCTTTTTAGGTCCCCTTTTGTTTCTGCTTTACATCAATGATATCTCATCGGCAGTTGAACATTATTAGTCGTTTATTTATGCTGATGACAGGCAATGCGTATATTCAGTCACTAAATCCATGTCGCAACATTGGTTGCAGCAAATCCATGCTGACTTGCTTGTTCTCTCGACGTGGAACTCAAAATGGCTGATGGAATTCCCCCCCACCCAGACGATGCTATATGTGTTTTGGATTTGATAGACTATCACAACCAGTGGTCTTTCAAGGCACACCTGTGACTGAGTGTTCCACGAACAAGGACTTATTTTTCAGCCACTCTAACAATCTTGTTCTTCAGCTACACGCCGACAGAATTACGGTCAAAACTGTCCAAATTTATGGCTTTATTTCTTATGGTCCCCACCTTCCTGAAGTAAATCAAGAATTTGTCTGGGGGACTAAGCAGCCGTATTTAGGGATAGCATTGCTCACTCTCGCGATAGGGAAGGGGCTTGAGAAAGTGCTCTAAGCAATTGCCTGGGGATCCACACCGTCTGCACGCAGACCGTGGCCGGCAGACACAAAATTCACGGTCGAAGCAACCTAATCCGAAACAACGCACACTCACCTCCCCCTCCCCTTCCCCTTCCCCGCCACCCTACTCGTCAGACTGGTAGGGTAAGTTCGCTCTTCAAAACAGTCTGGAGTGTTCGTTCCATTTTAGACAATCTGAGGAGTAACCGAACGGAACGGAGGGTGGCGCTAATGGCTCGGGAATTTGCGCGCTACAAGGTGGACATCGCTGCACTCAAAAAGACCCGGTTCTACGAACAAGGCCAACTGGAGGAGGTAGGTGCCGGCCACACCTTCATCTGGAACGATCGCCCCAGGGCAGAGCCACGGGACGCGGGCGTCGCCTTGGCCATCCGCAATCACATCGTGGGACGACTGTCCTGTCTGCCGCAGGACCTCAACGATCACCTGATGAGTCTCCACCTGCCTCTCCAGGGAGGCATATTTGCCACCACCGTCAACGTCTACGTCCCCTTCTCCCACGTTGGCCAGCCCTGACGAGGCAAGGGACAAATTCTACAAGGACCTACACGCCCATCTTGCGACTGTGCCAAAGACGTTTAAGTTGATTGTCCTTGGTGATTCCAACGCCCACATTAGCACAGACCATGCTGTCTGGAGAGGAGTGCTGGATCCCCATGGTCTCAACGGCTCCAAAGACAGTGGCATGCTCCTCCTACGAACCTGCACAGAACACCGGCTCACTCTGACCAACACCTTCTTCCGCCTCCCGATGTGAGTGAATGCCACCTGGATGCATTTGCTGGATTTTGATCTTGTCCAGAGATTAGACCAACAAGACGTGCTGGTGACAGAGTTAACTCTGCGTGCTGACGGGTGGACCGAATTCATAGATATTTTTTTATTAAAGACCCGTCGGGATCCTATCAAAGCAAGTTAAAATAAACTTTATGCGAGTTTTAGACGAGGTAGGCCGAATATTTACTAAATGCAATTCATAGTTTCTGAATTAGTAGTCCACTGAGAAACATGATAAGTGAGGGGTGAAAAAAAAACTCCTTACAAAAAGTTAAAAATGATAGGATTAATTTTACAGGAGAAAAAAACCCCTCAATAAAATTAATGACAGAAAAAAGCGAGCAGGACTGGACTGTAGGTGGCGGTATATAACGGATTGTTGTCGGTCATCGTCAGGGTAGCAATAAATCTCAGCCTTGAGGGGTACGTATGCGGGTCAGACAGGACTGGCCTGCATGTGGTATTGCATACGGGATTCACAACTGACATCGTCTGGGCCGGATTGATAAATAAATAAATTTTAATTTAATGCCAGTTTACAGGCGTTGTCAAGGGAAACGATTAAACACAAATCCGACCAGCAGTGAAAAAAAAAACTCCTGAGCTTAAGGCATAAAAATATAGTTGATGGTGGTTTTTGTGGTTTGGAGGGCTCAGGAGAAAAAAACTGTCGGCGGTGGTAGAATATCGGCCGTCAAGAAGGGGGGAGGTTGCACGGTATCGGAGATTATCGGACGTCAAATTCCTTTCATGAAGTTGGGGATAGTCAAAGTAGAGGCGTCGAGGAACAGCTGGTGAGACCGGCCATAGTGTTCAGAGACCACAAACGCCATCGCTATGGTACAATCGATCAGTAGATTCAGCACCCAAAATTTGTGGGAGCTTTTCTGAATGCAAAAATCGAGTAATAGTTCTCTTAAATAAAGGAAAATTTTGCAGAGTTTTCACACTCATGGGTAGTTTATTCCAAATAGCAATTGCATTTACAGAAAAGAACCGACGATATTTAACAGTACGTGCCAGAGGCAGAAATAAGAAGACCTCACGGTGACTGTTACGTTGTGGGTGGATATGATGTCTTAAAGAGGTGAGCGGGTTAAATGTGTGATTATATAAGAGTTTAAATAGCAAAAATAGTCCCTTTTGTAATCTACGGAACCATAAAGGATCGAGGCCTGTAAGCCGGCAACGTTCTTGGTAAGACAAATGTCGGTGTTCCGGGGTTAAAATTCTCTTAGTAAAAAAGTGTTGAACGGATTTATCTTCTTCCGCTCAGTAGCACGCATGAGGCTAAATAAAAACGAACAGTATTCCAGACCAGGTCTAACGTACATGTTGAAAAGGCGCATTCTAATGTCTCTAGTTTTAAAATTTCGGAGGATAAACCCGGTCGTTCTACGTGCTTTGGAGACTATCAAGGCACAGTGCTCCGAGAGATTGAGACTCTTGGAGTATGATACGCCCAAATCCTTTATTACCCCTGGTACATTTATTGCGTGACCTTCAATACTTAATTGAGGTTGGCGGTCGTCGCCAACCACCATGACTGAGCACTTATGCCAAGAAAGAGAAAGGCGCCATGTGCGGCACCACTGGGCGAAAGCCTGTAGATCGCTCTTTAGGAGCTCAAGCATGATGTCATGATCTGCCGGCTTATATCGATATGCAACTTTAAGATCATCGGCATACATGAAAGGCTTACCATTCTGAAATAAATCGGGTACATCATTAACGAAAAGGCAAAATAAAAGCGGGCCGAGTACACTACCCTGAATGACTCCACTCCTCACACGTGTGGGGTTGGAGATGGTATTGGAAATCTTAACTCGTTGTGTGCGAGTGCCCAAATAAGAGGATATAAAATTCAAAAGTTTGCCACCTATTCCGAAAGAGGACAATTTCAAGAGGAGAAGAGCATGGTCAACACGGTCAAAAGCCTTAGTGAAATCGAAATATACTGTGTAAAGAGCAAAACCATGGTCCCTAGATTGGAGAACATAAACAAAGAAAGAGAGTTGACAGGTGTCACAAGATCGAGCTTTGAGGAATCCATGCTGAGCAACACTCAGTAAGTTGTTCGCTGTTAAGTGACACATCATCTTATCCTTGATCAATGTCTCTAAGATCTTCGAAACTGCAGGGAGGGTGTTTATTGGCCGAAAGTCATCAAATGATGTAGATTTGCCGTGCTTAGGAATGGGCAAAATGTGTGATTCCTTCCACAAGGTAGG